CATCAATATTCGATGTTTTTAAACTGACAGCTTGTGTTTCTGCTTTAGCCAGCTAGCTCCCACTGTGATTAATGTCTTCCTTTCTAAATAAGTTATTTTTCCCCTTATACTTTCATACAGCTTTGCTTCTGTTAAGTCTGATTCCTTTCACTCTCTTATCTTGAAAAAAACAAATACAACCCCAAACCCCATAAATCCAGCTATCTAGAAAGAGAGATCAAATATGCATGTCAAGATGAGATGTACTTCTGTCAATTGCTTGCATGCAGTATTAACAGCCTGGCCTTATATTATAAATGCTGAAGTCACAATAAATCTAGGCAGTTGTTCTTATATTTGCTCCATCTCTCAGCAAAAGACAGTATTCACCCTTCTTTTATTTTCTTTTTCTCCTTTTTAATATATTAGCAACGATTATTTTTTATGTACAGTACTTCTGTGTAGGAGTAAATACTATCGTACATGCCATGCAGCATTTTACACACTTTGTAACAACATTACGACCAGACCCATTTTGTTTGCAATGGATACAACATCAGCTACTAACAAAATACACTGGTATACGCTACTAGTTTGACCCGCACACTACTTCATATTCAACCATATTTGAAACTGTCAGTGCATCACACGCTTACTGGCAGGATTACACAGCACCTACCCAAACCACACTTCAGCTAGAGTAACCCATGCTCCTCACAATATGAATAGTTTGCAAGGCACACAAAACTCATGTTGCTACTTGCTATTTTCATTTTTCACTGCACCATTTCTACCCAAGGATATAAAATTATTTACCTGGTAAAATGACTGAAGACATTTATACAACATGAGATAGCTAAGTTTAGTTTATAAAAAAATCTGTGGTCTAACTCCTTTCTTCTCCCAAGAAACCTCTTACCTTCCCCTGCTCAATCAATCTTTAGCTTGTTCCGGCACAAGAGAAGCGACATTGTGAAATAAAGGGATATTAGCAGCCAGGCTATGTACATTGCCTAATCTATGCCTAAATAAAAAATTTAAACAGTTGAGTACTGAGAAGCAATTGCTTTAAGTACTTATTCTTTAAATATATACAGGCAAGCAGCATTCTACTGACATAGTAACTAATTTTATAGAGTAAGATTTATGTTGGAAATAAACTCCGTATAATTGCAATTTACAACTTAAGAAGTTGCAGATATGAATAAACACTTCAGAAAACAGAAAGATAAAATCAAGATATGCTAGGCCAAGCAAGTAAGAATGACAAGAAATACCAACTAAAAGACACCAAGAACTTGAATACTCTCTTCACTCTCACCCTGGTAACGATTTGGAAAACCCCACTGCAGAAGCCCAGTGCACACCTTGGGCACTGCAGCTCTCCTTCTTAGAAAACAAACTCAAACCCAGCTGTGCTTAGCAGCACTTCCAGATCACTAACACTAGTGGCTGCTGAGTGGATATGTTTGTGTGTGCAAGACAGTCATAAGCATGAAACCAACATTCCCCTTACTACCAGATGAACAGCTGTGCGAACAACAAAAGTAACAAAGTGTGATTCTTAATGGATGCGTGCCTGAGGATACTCTTTCAGCCGACGCATATGCTGCAGTGTAACCTTGCTTCTTATTAGAAGTTGAAGAATCCATGCAGGAGAGACCTATGAATGCTACAGCTGTGGGATAAGCTTCAATGGGCACTTCAGTCTTGTAAAGCATCATAGAACAATATGGGAGAGAAATCCTGACCAAAGACGGGTTCCTCCAACTGTGAGACGCAAGCTGCAACAGACACCATCCCCGGAGCTAAGGTACTAAAAGGCTTCCCTCATCCAAGCCTTCTCCGCTGTCTCATAACAGTTGCTACCATGGTACAGCCTTTTGCTTAGTGGAACATCACTAACAGTCTCTTGAGGATCCAGGCTCCTGCACACAGGAGACATTGACACCTAGTGCTCCGGTCACCAAAAGATTCAATTTCTCAGCACAGAAAGATGACTTTGCAAGTCAGGTTTGCCCTAGATTGTGCTTTTTTACCACAATGCTCTCCACTCCTACCACATCGTCTTCATCTCCAGTGCTATTAACTTAACTGCTTTATTCAACTGACCGTAACACACGGGAGGAAAAAATAATGAAATCAAGACACTATGCAAAAAAACATGTTGTGCCTTAACTGTAGTTTTAGCTGTAGCACAGCTAGAAAGCATAGAGGTCCATATAAGTAGATGAAATAATCTCTGTTGTTAAATATGCCATTGGCAGTCCTGAAAAATCTTTAAAATACTAAGTTTTTCAATATGTATAGACATCTTGGCAGAGATTTGTATTGGTTAAGTCAAAAGTCACTCTCAAAAAGCAGTTTCCAGAAATCAACATAATTACATTACATTAGTGATCTGTAGAGACAATACTGAGTGTATTTTATACTATAATTTCCAAATTTATACATTTGCAAGAAGTTTGTTTTCCAGAAAACAATACACATAGAATTTGATACTGTGCCTGGCAAATTAATTTCCAGGGTGATTTCGTAAAGGTGAGGAAAACAACATCTTCATTTTAAGTTAACAAAACTTCAGGTTATTTTCCATCAGTTTGTTACTTAGAAATCTTTCCAATGTTGTAGTACATTTCTCACTCCTCAAAGTCTGACTACATGAAACCGAAGAAATAACCTCAATCAATTTAGACATTAATACAAATTGAGGTCGTGATCTTAAGCGTCAGGATCCTTAGTTACGAAGCATTAATTCATTGCACATTTAAACTCATGCTGAGTAGAAAAGAGCACATGAACATCATTTAAGAGGAGCAATCTCTGAAATACATACCTGTAGCTGTACTCCTACAGCTTGCTGACACAAGTATGACAACAGTAAGAAGAATGATCAATCTCTAGAGATCTGTATCACGTCAGTGATGCTGATATACACAAAACTTCAGTAATTCTTTTATAACTTAAAAACAAGTTGTCATGAATATAATAATTGTTAGCAATTCACATTCCAGCTTTTGCATGTTCTCAGAAATTTTGCATTCAGGAAAGATTTAACAGCATTCTGAGCAACCTCAAACATGTTACCATGTCTCTGTGGTTTACGTTTAAAAAAACAATTCCTCAAAAAGTGTATTAGAGGGAATTATTGGTCCTCCAAAAAAGCCAGCCATACATGGAGTATTCCATGTTTTTGGATGTTAGAAATATATATAATTTTTTTTGCTTTAAAAAATCTAATTCACATATCGCAGCTCACAAGACAGTCTTGGTATTACAGAGCTACAGAATATTCCAGAATTAATCTCTAGAGTTTCCCTAACCTGATGTATTCCCTGGGCAAGTGAAAAGAAAGAACTGAAAACCTTTTGCTTATGGCATTTACCCTGACAATGGAGACTTATTTCCAATTGCTTATACATTGAATAATTAAGTTCGAGATAAATGATGCCAATAACTATCCTGAATATTAAAACAGTTTATTATTCTTACATGCTTTTTTAGTCAGTTGTTTCAAAGGAATAGACACCCTTTATCTGCTTGGTTATTGTGTAGACTGAAAAGAATAACACCTTCATTTTTATATATACATACATATATTTATAAATTTGAATTCATCAAGTCAATGACTCATGTCAAATATCTTAACTTCCAAGTCAAACAATAATGCAGAGACTTTCAGTAACTGGGCCCCCATAGGTGACATATGACATATTAAGACTAAGAAATTGAAACTGCCTGTGCATACTGATGCTCAGTTAGGAAGCACTTCCATCTTACCACAGAACAGAAAAATATAATATGCATTCTCAATAAATACATATTCATATTCCAGGAAGGTAGAAGAATGGGCTTTTCTGAAGTCCAGAAAGCACTTGCAGTAGTAATAAGTAATTTCTGATCTGTTAAAATTATTATTTTTTACTGTCATAAAGAAGGAAGTAACGTCTACATTTTGAACATGCAGGTACAGTTGCATGAGAAAGTAATCCCTTTCTCTCCTTTAAAAAAAAAAAAAAAATCTATATTTGGAAGAATTCAGTGTTAATTTTCATTACTTTTAAACTTGTAACTTTGCAAGACCTACCCAACCATGTAAAAGATAAATTGAAATAAATTCTGGCCTGTGCATGGTCAGCAAAACACTTCAAATTAAATAAAGATTTACAGAACTCCCAGACTGCTGAAAACTTCTAATTACAAATTTTGGATTGCTGGTAGTGATTCAAAACTCAGAAACAGACACCTTCATTATTAGATTTCATTCTTTTGTTTCCAGGACTGCCAATTAGAGAAACTGTAACATGTAAACTAAAAAAATATCACAAAGAACAGCATATACAAACTGAAAATCAGCATACATTCATAGAACAGCTTTTCAGAGTATAGCCTAATTTTAATTCCTACCTCTTGTCATTTAAAAATGACTGCTAAAACAAACAAACAAAAATCTTTAAAATAACTGTAGTCTAAACTTACAAGTATAAAAACAACCACATCTTATTCTTAGGTAAAACCTCACGACCTTTGTAACATGGGAAAACTGCCATATGAAGGAAAGCATACAGATGTACCTGAGCCAAGATGAAGTCGTAGGTAATTCATGATATTGTATGATATCGGTACAATATTTAGCCGGCAACCAAAAAAGACAGTCTCAATAATTAGCTATGAATTGTAGTGTTTTAAGCATTAGGCAATCCAACATTTCCTGCCATGATGTAGATTTATATTTGAACCAAAAGACTGTTGTACTGTTAGCAACAGTACGCTATGCTTTCAGTTTTTACTGTCGGTGTAACTGACTGGCACTTACTATCATCTACTGCACAGAAAAAAACATTTTTACCCCTACAAGGTAAAAGATCTACAAGGTACTATAAATGGTATTTCTCCATGGCTGTTAGTTTGGCAAAATTTGGATAGACTTTTTGTTTGTTTCATCAGAGAATCATATTCTCACTGCCAAATACTCTTAGAACTCCAGCTCTGTCCTCCTCTAAAGTTTCCAGCTCCAGACCACACTGATACAGCTTTGTCCTGTTTTTGATTGCTGGTTATCCATTCTTTCAGCAATTCATCTTCTCCAAACAGTATTTCAACTCTTCTGCTGAAAGTTCTTTCAGTCACCCAACAGAACATAAACCATAGCAAGCTGTTAAACTTAACTTCTCACATGTAATGTGAATACTTGTCCTCAATTTCTGCATTTATAAAGTTATACTGAAAGACAAGGGCTTGGGAAGCTCAAATTAAGCTTCAAATTTGTTCTATGTTGGTAACAATGCCTACTACTTTTATGAGTAACCTTTTTTTTTTATAATGCATTTAGACATCGCTAAATTCAGAAGATTTTCAGCTTTCACATTCATATAAGAAGTTGAAAATAGTTTTGAGTTATGAAACTTGGTTTCATAATTTGGTTTAGATATAAACCAAAGCTTGTCTAAATTAGAAACATAGTTGTTGCCTTATTGATGCCTGTTCTGGGAACTCCCTTTCATATGTTAACAAATTTACATATTTTGGCAGTGACAACTTTCATATTTCTTTTACATCAACACCTAAGTTCAGACATTAGTTATTTGGAAAAAATCTAATCTGATTATGAAACCTTTTTTTTCCACTCACTAGTGCATTGCGCTTGAACTTGAAAAATACTAAAGCCTTTGTGTATACAGTACCAACTCACATCAGTTGGTTGCATTTATTTCTATCCTTGTTTTACTGTCATTGGTTATGCAAAAAATTAACATTTGTAAAAATGTAATTTTTTCCAGTAAACTTTGTTTTTAGTATTATTTACTTGGGTTAGTTTTGCTGGAATTAAAAAACACAAACTATACACAAAAACATATCAAAGAAACCCAAACCAAAAAACCCACCATTTCAGGGACAGACAGGCTTTGCGAAATGTTACCATACTAGTTCATGATACAAGCAATTAAAGGTAAGACCATAATGGGAAGTGACTGGTAGCTTCCAGTATAAGCCTGTACCCTTCTACATAAAAATATTTAAAATAAAAAGAAAAGCAAATAATCTTAAAATTCGTTCTATTCAGCAGAAATTAATTTCAGAGGGCTGCTAACACTAACCACTTGACACTAGATCTTACCAAAACCCCATCATTTTTTCAGAACACATGATTTCAGAAAGAAAAGTAAGGAAAAAGAATTTCTCCTCAAGTAGCTGACACCTTTTATTATAATGTTAAAAAGTTACCTACTTGCTACTACTCACATTTGGAAAGTTTCAAGCCAAAAAGTGTTGCTGTACAAGCTTAAAGAAACACTACAAATCCTGAATAGCTCTTAGTATTGCTCCAATGCACATTAAAAAAATTGAGTGGAAATACACAGCTAATATTTTAAAAAGAATAGTTACCATTCTTTTTAAGTGACTGCTCATTTTATAAGTTACAAATTTTTTATTTAAGTTTTACTTCAAACAAACAGTAGCAGAACTATAAGCATTTCCTACTCAAGCTCTCCACCAATATCTACAGTAGTGTTAGACACAGGCAAACTCTGTCAGGGTTCAGCATTCAACTGCAACTGGACTGCCCATCTTCATTGATTACAAAGAGGAAAGAAAAACACAACTATCGGCTTACATAAATCAATGCGCAGCCTGTTTTGCATGATGGCCACAAAAACGTCTTCAGTTTTTCTGAACTAAATTACAAATAACATTTTGCAATTAAAAAGATAACACAGGAACACAATCATGAAGGAGTAATGGGAAAACATGAAACTAATTTCTTGTATAATTTTCCAAATTTTAGGTTTACAGCACATCTATTTCAAATGAGCAGTGTAGCCAACTGAAAAGATTCCAATGATTCGCATGTTCCTATAATATAGCCCTTCATTAAATGACCTATCCACAAGTGAAAAACACACTTCCTTTTCAACAAGCAATATATATAATATGGTCAATGTTCTCAGCCAACTAGGAAAGATTTACATTTCCATTCTGGTAGGTTAGTAGGTGTTTTTTGTTCCACAGAAAATAATTTTTTTTTTTAATATTTAAGCTTTCCCTGTACATGACAAATATTATAGTCTGAACTAGGAGGGAAAATAAAGCAAAGGAAATAAAAAAAGACAGTTTCCATACATCAGGAGATGGTAGGAAGAGCTAGTGATCCATTAACTCTGCAGTCCTAGAACAAGCATGCTGCTGCAGTTTGCATTTTATAAGTGCAGAAATCACCCCAAAAGAAGTTTTACTGCAAGTATATATAAAGTATAGAAAAATATGTGCTATACTGAAGGCATGTAGACTTGCTGTAGAAGCACAAGACTCTTACTTAGGTCACATTATAAAAATCTATTCAACCATCCTTTACCTTCCTCTCTTCATGCTCCCTCTCTTGGAGTCTATGGATCATATCGTTGGCAGCTTGCACTGAAACAACAAATTGCAGTAGATCAGTCTGCTGCTCTAAATCAGAGAGAAATTCACCTGAAAAGGATTTAAGAGACATGGGGCTGTTGCAAGTCAAAGATTATGTTCCACTGTGTCCCTTAACTCTGCAGGAAAAAGATTTATCAGTACTTGCAGAGAACGCTTTACACTGATAACTGTATGGAGTCATACCACTGAGTTCAACCCTGGTGTGTTCTAGAAGCCAAAAAAAGAAAGGCAGCTAGGTTTGCTTATGCCCATATTCCTTAGTCTTGCTGACAAGAAGACATGAAAAACCTCCCAAGTCAGTAAGTAGAAACAGGTGACAAAGCTCTGTGTTTTAGTTGTTTTTTGTTTGTTTTTTTTTTTTCCTTATTTTTCCCCATCAAATGTAAAAAGTGATTTAGTATAAACAATCTACCTAGAGAACATATTTATGCTGGAGCCAGCATCTTCTCTCACGAGACTAAGCTCAGAAAAACTTGTCAATGGAAATAGGATCTGTATTCCTACACAGGTTTCTTTCCTAACTCATTCAACACTTAATTAATGCAGAATTAAATAAACTAATTTCTCCTACTAACACATCCTAGTATTGAGAAATACCTTACTTGTTTATCACCATCTTAAAGTCGGTGACTTCTCACACTAGGAGGCAGGCTCCTGCCCCCCCTGAGAACGTCCAGTTACAGAACAGGTTCACAGCCCTTGTAGCTGATAAGGAGCTGGGAGCACCATGAACTGGAGCATCTAGTGGCTGAGCCTGAGCCATTCAGGACCTGAATGAAGAAGACAGTGGCAACTGACAGTTGTAGCAGACCCCCTACGGCAGGAGACAGAGGCTCCCCACCTGTTAATACAATTTGTCATGTAGGGAGGTTTACCACTTGCCAGAAGCTCACATTTGGGATGTTGTAGAGAGGCTACCGAGGCTCAGACCCCGCTGTGCTTCAATGTAGACACCAGCAGTACTGCAAAGGTGACCTAAGAATTATCAGGAATGACTACAGGGATCTGGGAACAGTGATTAAAAGCATGGGGGTCCAGTTAATGTTCTCCTCAACCTTCCTGGTGAGGGGGACTCCTTGGATCTCTGGGGTTAACAGATGGTTGCACAGTTGGTGTTGGCAGCAAGGTTTGGGTTTCTACAACCATGAGACCCATTCTGAGCATCAACAGCTGCTTGGAAGAGATGGGATCCACCTGACCAAAAAGGGCAAAAGTACCTTTGCCAACAGGCTGACCAACCTGGTAGGGTGAGCTTTAAACTAGAAATGACAAGTGAGGGAGTTCCTCAAAAAAGTTGGGGATAGGTTAGGCAAACCAAGGGTCTGGGATTAACAAATAGGACATAGCACCCTTTTCAAGGATCACCTCCAAGCTCAAGAAAGGTCCGTCCCAAAAAGTAGGAAATGAAGCAAAGGTGGCAGGAGGCCTGCATGGATGAGCAAGGAGCTCCTAACTGAACTCAGACTTAAAAAAGAAGTGTGTAAAGAGGTGGAAGCAGGGGCAGGTGACCTGGGAGGAATATAGAGTTGCCGTCTGATAGTGCAGGGACAGGATTAGGAAAGCCAAGGTGGATCTGGAATTGAATTTAGTGAGGGATGTGAAGGGCAATGAGTGAGAATTCTATGAGTACATAAACAGCAAAAGAAAAAATAGGAAAAACGCAGGTCCTCTGCTGAATGGGGCAGGGAGCTGGTGACAAAGAGCCTGGAAAAGGCCAAAAGTACTCAGTGCCGCCTTTGCCTTAGTCTTTACTATAAAGACCAGACTTCAAGAATCCCAGGCCCCTGAGGAAAGTCTGGAGCAAAGATGACTTACCCTTGGTGGAGGAGGACCAGCTTATGGAGCACTTGAACAAACTGGAAATGTATGAGTCCACAGGGCCTGACAGGTTGCATCCATAAGTGCTGAGGGAGCTGGCTGATGTCACTGCTAGGCCACTCTCTCTTTTTGAAAAATCACTGCAACTGGGAAAGGCTCCTGAAGACTGGACTCCTATCTTCAAAAAGGGCAAGAAGGAAGATCTGGAAAACTACTGGCGAATCAGCTCACCTCAATCATAGGAATGGTGAAGGAAAAAGTCCTCCTGGAAGTATTTTCAAACACATGAAGAAGTTGATCAGGAGCAGTCAGCATGAATTTACAAACAGGAAATCATCCCTGACTGACCTGACAGTCTTCTACAATGCAGCAACTAGTTTGGCAGATAAGGGGAAAGCAGGCAATGTTGTTTACCTCAGCTTCAGTAAGGCTTTTGATGCTGTCTCCCACAACATCCTCATAAACAAGCTAAGAAAGTATGGGTTAGGGAAGTGACCAGAGAGGTGGGTTGAAAACTGGCTGAACAGCCAAGTCTAGAGTCTAGCACAAAGTCAAGTTGGAGGCAAGTCATTAGTGGTTTACACCAGGGGTCAGCACTGCAGCCAATACTGTTTAACATCTTCATCAGTGACCCAGCTGCTAGAGCAGAGTACACCCTTGGCAAGTTTGCAGATGATATAAAACCAGGAGGAGTGGCTGACATTATATGATTGTGCTGTCATTCAGAGGGATCTTGAGCAACTGGAGAATTGTGCTGAGAGGAATCTCATGAAGTATCTCATGAAGTTGAACGCAGAGAAATGACAAGTCCTGCATCTGGGGAGGAATAACCCCAGCTGGCAACACACAATGAGGACCAACAACACAGCCTTGCAGCACAACATCCAGAGGGTAGTAGTCAATGGCTCAAT